TCATTACACAGAGATGTCAGCATTGGACAGTTGTTATAATAGACGGTTTTCTCAGATGTTCCCAGTTGCAGCAAGTTTGGTACTAATGTAAACATTTATTTCAGTTGTAGGAAAAGTGACAACAAGACTGGCAATTCTAATGACGGTTACAACCACGAACCAGACGACGAGAGTGACGACGAGTATGACTATGGCGACTGGGGAGAGGCAGAAGAGATGACTGATTATGGCAGAAACAAGAAAACCAATGTGGACGTCATGCACATGGTCCATCCTGAGATGGATAAACGACAGTTTGCAAAGGCCACTAAGAATGCCAACTTCTAGAAAGCTTACAATCTTATATAACATCACCATATACAGCTGGCGAGGAAATGAGACTTGTTTAAGAAATAAGCTGTTACGAACAAATCTCGACAGAAATAAAAAAAAAACTCGCCAGTACAATGTAGTGTAGTAGAGAAATAACAGTATCATAATCCAACGATACTATCAAAAATGTTTTTGATCATTTTTGTGTTACGTGTAGATGATACTACTGGAATCAAACCAATGATATCTGCAATTCTTGCTTTTCAAAATGTTGTAAAAACTTTTCATAATTACACAAATAACCGCAATGATGAATTTGCGTGTTCACAATAGTTTCTATATTAACAACATACCCGTACAAAGATTGCAATTTTCGCAATCCTGTTGTAGCGCAATACGTTCAACCTGAAAAGTGCTAAAGAAGTATTTAACAAATGTTTAAGACTTTATTGGGTTATAATAGCACTTCGAACCTCTCGGTATAACACGTACTAATATCAAGTTTCTCACCAAGCAAACTGACATGGGCAGTTTGAAGCAATTATTAATCCCGTATTTGTTGTAATCTTGTTGTTTTCTATTAGAATATTATAACTGAAATAATTCAACATTTCTAAAATCTGCACCCCCAACAAAGATAAGAACAATTAAGAACAAAAGATATGACAAACGAACAGGCATCGAAAACAACTTGCCCTTACTATACGGACCATTGGTTTTGTGTCGTATCACAGATGAGTGACAATATTTGCTAAATTTCAATTTTTCAAAACAATAATATGGATATCAAATGAAACCAAATACGGTATTCCAGTTTTATCTGATTAAGTGTTTAGCTTGCATATTCGAAAAAAAGGCTAATTACCTTCCGATTTGTTGAAATTTGTTGTATTAGAGAAGAATTAATATAATTTCACATTATATACTAATTGTATGGTCATTCATCACCAAATTATTTCTATGTGTGTAAAATTACTCTAATAAATGTTATCGTGGACTTCATGTTATCACTTGACCGGTCAAGTTCAGCCATTTTGATACAGGTGTAGGTAGCATCATGTTATTTTTTTTAAAAATGGTGTCCTAGTTACAAGAATAAATACAGACTGACACACATATGTTTGTCGTGTTTCATTTTGTTGTTTGTTTGGTTTTTGTGCAATGGCACAATTCAAATAACCTTCTTGTATTTTATTTTGTGAAATGAGTACAGTACAAAAGCAAATATGCATTTTGGATTCAGAAACAAGTACAATGTACTTATATTAATCTGTCTCCGTATCTAATTACATGAGCAATGGACAGCACTGACAACATAATGTAATTAAGTAGGTGCATAAGTACAGGGAAGGGGAAAAGAAAGGGTGCATGGGTTCAAAGGAGGAAACCGTTGTAGGATGACGAAGCAAGAGTTTAGGACTGCTATAGATCTATATTTGATTGTGGTTCACTCAACAAAGTACAATATACCACGACCAGGTCAGTTCTGTAATTGAGATTACTTCGTAGTATACACAAACTCACTAGATACGCTAGAGATTAATTAAAACGTTTAGAACGGTTAATAAAGTTTTGGACACAGTCAAAAATATTTTCATTGTACTGATCTGGCATATCAGGGTTACCATATAATAAGGTATTAACATTAATGTCGGGGGGTATGTTACTGAAGCATTGCATTCTGATATGATGGTAGTTAGGGCACTGGAGGAAGAAGTGTTCAGTAGTTTCGTCGGACTGGTTACATTATTTATTGTGACTAAATGGCGTTTGGTCATTTGGGTATATGTCAAATTCTGTAAACAGACTTATTTACAGATTTTGACATATTTGACTTAAAAGTAGGTAAAAGACGTCCCTGCGATATAAACTTATAATGTTGATAAAATGCCATAATCGTTTCCTCTTTGTTACTTAGAAGCAAAAAGAGTCTAAATTGGGAAAAAAATGTTGACAGCTATTTTTTTCAGCTAACAACGGGCAAACCACAACGCCGATCGTTAAACAAGCGGTGTCGAAATGACCATTTAAATACTCCGTTATGTCTCGCAAGGTGACAGACCCCAAAACTTTCCTCACAGAGTCGACGCTCAACCATAGGCTAAAAGTAGTTCTGTCAAGAATTAAATAAAACGAGACAAAAATAGTTGTGAAGATGATTGTCAGAAAGCTAGAAAAAATAGTATCACCCTTCAGCTCAAAATTAGAATTAAATACTGCAGACATTTACCTCTTACGAATGGAAAAAGAAATATATGCCTTTGACAAGGTGGTTTGATTTGTTCTCCTAGAATTATAAGAACAATGTTTAAAGTCAAGGTCATGAAGTTAAGATTCCCTGTACATAACTGTATATGCTTCCTGAGCAACGCAATTAGTTCTATTACCACGTGATAAGCTGGAGCCAGTTTTTTTCCAGGGTTTGTTCAAAGGATGCTGTGTAATTATCTGTGATACTTCTCACCTGATTCTTTGTCTACAAAAGTGACGTATAACAGGGCAATACTTAACAGAATTTAAAATCAAACTGTTGAAAATGATTCTGTCCTGTTTAGTTAATAATTTGACTTTACTCTATAAAACTGCTAGTTTCCTAGAGGCATTTTCACAAATTTCTAACGCGTGGGCCTCCAACTTGAGTAGAAACTCTATATCTATACCTAGAAGAGACACATTATTAATACTCAGTATTTCAGTATTACAGACATTAAAAGTCTAAAGTTCTTTGGAATTTTGGAATTGGGAACAGACATCCTTACTGATGTTGATAAGAGAGGTTATTGATTGTGGGAGGGCATCTGAGCTCAACTTAAATCTCCTAGATATACCATCAACACATGTAGCCTTCCTGGTTTGAAGTTTATCAGTAAATCTAAATATATACTCAAAATCATTATCATAAACTGATCATGTACATTACTAGTTGGAAAAAATCTTTAACGTTTAAAATAGCGGAGTGGTTGTCTATGTCACCAGTAGTGTCTGTTCCTATGCCACATAAACAAAAGAAGAACAGGAAAAAATATACGAAGCTATGATTTCTTTCTGGTCATTACTTATTATGTTATTTTTACCAAGTAAAATTTTTTATGGTTATTAGTGTTACTTTTCTTTGAAAAGAACATCTTGATAGTGGTCCAGAATTCTTTGTCTCCGGGCCGCCGTGACATCTCTCAAAAACGTAATTACGAACACATTGTCTGCCCAGCTTAGTAACTGAATTACAAAAAAAAATGTACGTTAATCTACAGGCTCCCAGTTATGTTTTGCTATGCACTTAAAGTATCTATTTCTAAGCATCGCTTTACTGTACATTGGTCTGAGCAGTTATTACCACTCTGTTAATTGGTACATGATCGTATATCACATCTTTAAATGTATTTATGTGCCCAGTAGACATCATCGATTTTGCAATCAAACACATAACATACATTGAAAGCAATACTACATCAGCATTAAAATTTGATTTATTGAAATGTCGAAAATTTCTGTATTTACATTTTCCAAAGGGTTTATAAACTGTTGAGACAGTCAGATAACACAGATATCTAGGTTTTGGCATTTTTGAAAAAAAGACCACGATGCTTTTGACCTTAAAATGACAATTTTACCGGTTCTCGATTTTTCTGAAATTTTCACCATAGGTAGACAGTATAATGACCCAAATATTTTGTAAAAAAAAAATTGGTGTGCTAGAACCGGAAGTACGTGCTTCACTTCCGCAAAAAGTTGTCACATCTTTTTAAAAAATGCTTTAAACATGATGTTTTTCAAGTTCAAGATCGCATAACTTTTTTATCTTTCAGTATTTTGTTACATATTTGACAACACAATATAAAGATAAGCATGCTAATTACAATACAGCATCAATTTATTTATGTATTTATTTTATCTGCTAAATAGGTTTTCGGACCAAAATCTGACCCTTGGTGTACACCTTTGGTTCACTACATTAAATGAGTTATAGCGCAGGCCCCTGGGGACTTTTGAATTTTTAAGACTCATTTCCTGGTTTGTCTCTCAAGGTACTACAAATAACACCCATTTTGGTTTAAATTGGTTAGTGGGCAAAATTCTAATGTTCCTGTAAGAGGTCCGTTATCTTAAATGAATTACTTATGTTGACATCTTATGACCTTCCGCATTCGTGCACAACAATGGACATGATCAAATGGTGACAACTATTTTATAGCATCTGACATCATATTTGTGTAAATTTCTATGTTCAAAGAAGATTTGATCGGGGATTTGGTATCATCTTTTCTGTATTTATATCGTCTATTCGCTCGTTGATACAATTAAATTACAAAAGAAGAAATCTGTTATAAAACAACCAGTTCACCGGTACTGCTTGGATAGTCCGCATGCGTCAATACTCCTAAAATATGATGGCTCTATATCAGATTCATACCTGTTTGGCATTTGTTTATTTATTTATCTGTTTATTTGTTTATTGGACTATTTATTTATGTTACATTGTATTCCATTAGCTGGTTTTAACTCTCTTATTTTTACCATCTTAGAAGATGAGATGTAGTTTTCAAAATAATATCAGCTCATAGATCAATGAAGACAAGACAAACCGTTGCTTTCTGTTATTCTCTCAGCGAACTATTTTCTTTGCATGGCCTTATAATGCACAGCCAATCAGAATCGCCGTATGTGTCCTGAATATTTCTGCCTCATTCTGAACGCCATCTTGGATCAAGACGAGGTCCAGTTTGTGATTTCGAGGTTTGTGACTCGTTTTCAGCCCCTGCCTCACTGTTGTCTCGTAGGGTCCTCATTTTCATCAAAGTGAAAATAGAGGTTTCATTTTGACTAGTGAGAAGAAATAATGGTGTCATTTAATAAATTAATGCAATATTTACCCCTTAAAATGCTCTAAACCTCCAAATGTTGTACTCTGATGACACAATTTTCGTAATAGGACAATAAATCCCGTCAGAACTGATTGCTTCGTCAAAGATGTTTACGTTATCTAGACCGATACTGGTACATCGATATGGTCTGCTCGCAACGACAGTATCTCAAGATTTCCGTCATATATGTGAACTTTAAAATATTGTTATCAGTCTCTTCGATTGCAGGACTGAATCAACATTAATTTGGAGTATTGACGAATAGATTTGTTGCTGTTGATCGAAAGAACTTGTCACAGTAATTATATTTAACACCCAAACGCGGGCTAATGATTCTCAGCAGTACTGAGTAGATAGATACATTCAGTAAAATGTTGCATCAAACACAGGGGCATGTAATATTTAACTGTAACAATTATATTTTTCTCTCGATGTATAGGGTCTTAATGATATTAACGCTGATGTGACACGTCTTTGTGTTACGTCTTTGTGTTAAATAAAAGCTTGACAATCGTGTGGTATACTGAAATCAAATTTGTAAAACTCGTGGTTAGCCGCCTATAGCATGCCACATAATCAAATCTTTCCGTCAGTAAAGTTTCAACATTATAAGCAAATTTTGTGATTGTAAAGACTGTTTTATGAATACTAAATTATTAATACATATTTCAATAGCACAGGTCTCCATGGATGTGTTAATTTCTTTTCATGAAAATTCTTGCTGAAATATATCCTTTTCCATTCTTGGCATATTTTGCAAAATGTGAATGGTCAGTGATTTCAGTAATCTCCTAGTTAAATAGAGTTAATTATTTATCATATCAAATAATTGGTGAAAAATTACCACTAGATTAATATTATAGTGGCATATTAATTGTCAACAACAGTATATAGGTATTATGAGTGGAAAAAAAATTCATTTGATTCCTGGAATGGATGTCAAAAAGTATGGGGTCACTGCCCAACCTCTTTGGGTTTTCCTGGGATAATTTCTGCTAGAGTGATAGATGTTGGGTGCTTCCATTTAGGCCAAAAAGAGTGATTAATATGAATAAACTTTATAAAATAGATAGAGTTCATATTTATCTATTGAGCTACTTGGTTGCTATGGTCAACCCAATCCAGCTCTGCTACATTACTGTTGCCTTTTTGTAAAGTCGGCTCCAGAGGGTGAAATCATTTAGCATCACCTTTAAACTGACATACTTGGGCAGTTATGTACAAAAAGCTGAAGAATTATACAATAATCTTTAAAGTTATGTCCTTAAAAAATAATGACAGACAGTATTTCATCTTTTTAATTTTCTGTATTCATATGATTGATATCTTAAGGATTTACTGTTTTGAAGATAAAACAAAAGCAGTCATGGCTGATGGTGAGGATGAGGTGAGCTCATCTACAGACCCTGTATCATGTGGAATTGTCCTACGAGATCCAGACAACCAGGATGACCTTGGAGTCTCAGCCAGTAAATATAAAGCTGTCAGTCCTGATGAAGGGTTAGGTGATCTAACTATTAGCTCAGGTATGGAGAAACTTTGGCCAAGTCAAAATAGCTCTTGATTTAAGTGATGATCCAATTTGAAATTTATTTCCTAGAAATATAAAAGTATGATTTATAACGGTTATAGGAAAATAATGAACGAAGCTATTGACAAGTAACCATGATTCCCAGGTTTGACTTGTGGTACACTTTAACAAGTTTCTATGTGCCTGTTGCTCTTCAATGAAAGTCCACTTTTGAACAGAAATAATTGTTGCTGCATTATCCCTTGTGTTTTATCTGTATAAAATTTATTAAAGATATTGTGTAAACTGAGGTTTTCATTTAACATAATTTGTCGATGCCATGTTAATTATTTGCTTCAGGTGATGCAGTTTATTCTTTCGATTTTCAGTGTCCCCAAGTCTAGCCAATCCCACCCTACAGGGTTTGTTATCCTCTCCTGTATCCCTCCCAGGCAGTCAGCTCCTTGCTGGTACAGATGGCATACAGATTATTGCAGTATCCTCGCCCAATGATCTTCTGAACCAAGCAGACAGCTCAGGACGCGTGTGGCATGTGGTCCCTCCAGAAATGGCCACCCTAATAGCTGTGGCTGGTGACAGCACACATGAGCTTGAACATAAACATGAAATGGCTGGTAATTATACACAACAACAGTATTTCAAAAACTTTCTTAACATTGGTAAATAGATTGTATGATCTTAATTGGAACTATATATGGTTAAAACTGCAACATTTTAATTTAGGAGTAATCTTTTTCAGTATACTAACTTTGTGACGGACTGGCTGTATTTGATAAGTACTGGTTATTACTATTATCAAGCTTTATATATATTTAAATAAAAATACCAGATGACATGTACTGTAGTGTACACTGCAAACATATTTACCAACTTTTTGAAAGAAGTTTATTTCAGTTGACTTTAAAGGAATAAGATTGGTTGAGAGCAAAATATGAAATAACAGACAAAACTAGACTAAACAATTGATTTGGCGTTGAAAATAATTGTTTTGTTTTTCTTGTAGTGGAGATGGATGACGCCATTGGAGGTGGTTCTAATGAGGTGTCAAGTGGGATGTCACAGGATAGCATTATGATGCCCCCTCCCCCACAGCCCCTCCCTGCAGACTGTCCCTCCTGGGCACACAGAATCAAATGTTGTGAGGTAAATGTATAGAATAGATCAAGGCAGATGGATGTTGGATTACTGTTAATCTCTTACATAGTTACATACTTGATTTTTCAATTCTTCAATTATGTTAGCTATGGTCATTTTCAGACACAATCTTAACTCAATATTGAGTGATTGATGTCCTGAGAAAATAATTTGAGTATTAAGGATTCCTTATACCAGTCATAATGCTGTTTCTGTAGTTATATTCTGGACTTCAATTATAACAAAATCAAGCATTTCAATACTGTTGTATATGAATATTATGTCCAATATCAGTCTATGTTGTACTTATCACATAACACAATGAGGAAAGGATGCAAAATATTCAATCTTTGTGCTGTAAAATTTAGTATTTTTTCTTTTAAAATGAAGAAAGACACTGTTTGATAATGTTATTTAACACTATTGCATAGTTCGTTATTAATCCCGACAAGCTCACTTTTATTTTAAAATGTCCCAGTATATTGTAGCCATTTGGTTTAATAGAACAAACAGTTTAGCATTGGTATTGTTATATATAATAATTTGTCATTTTCTTTAGTATACATAAAGTGAATAGTTGTTTATCAAGTTAACTTATGAAGATATCTTTCCATCTATTTTATTTAGAAAATTGGTGACTCATACCGTGGATATGTGGATAGTGAGGTTGACCTTGACCTATTGTTGACCTACCATAAACAACAGACTCAGAGTTTCTGGGGTACTCGTCAGTCACCGTCCCCAGCCAAACCCTCCACACGACTCATGTGGAAGTCTCAGTATGTGCCATTTGATGGGATTCCATTTGTGAATTCTGGTAGTCGTGCCATTGTGATGGAGTGTCAGTATGGTCCACGAAGGAAAGGCAACACCCTAAAGAAACAGATGATTGATCAGTTTGGCCCAAATAAACAGTGTGAGCAGTTTGTACCTGGAGACTACAGACAGACATGTCCAGCCAGGTACATTGGTTATAACCTCTTTTACTTTCTAGTGTACTGATATTTGTGTTAATTAGAATTCTTAATTCATTCATAGTTAATAGAGAAATCTGAAGACAAATAATGTACTGTAATTTAAGTATATCATGTGATGGCCAGAGAGTGACAGTAAAAAATTTCCAGACTGCTTTTGAGGATATTTAAATTGCCATATTCATTTCATACCATTAAAGTATAAAAATAAAAAAGCCATGTTTGCAAAACTATAACGTAATTATTAATTTGTTTCAATTTATACTTTGTCAGAATTTACATAAAGAAAGTGAAGAAGTTTCCCCAGTATGCTGTTGACCTGAGTATAGATAAAAAGACACTGAAATTAGCAATGGATAAAGCTTTTCATGAACTGAAACAGCGTGGATTTGATGATATTGGTCAGGAAAGGTAATAATCATTCAAACCTTTCAAACCTTTAGTTGCAGTGGATTTGAAATAAATACTTACAGCACTAATAGTGTAAAATAAGGTAGATGAAGAGGATTGCTAAAATGTTCTTATGTCATCACCTTGCTTCAAATCAAGCTCCAGGAATCTTGCTTTTTGCCAAATGATATGACCTGTATCAATAAATCTATACTTAATTTGTAATTATGATAAATTCATAACACAGTATTTCTTATGGTCTAACACTGGATGCTTTCAGTATTTAATTTTGTACATCAATTATGTGATGCAATATCTCTGATTGATAGCTTGAGGTCAGATAAGTATGAAATAATTGATTGACCATGTCCATAAAGAGAAGATAAAGGATGCTATCAGGTGACTGGTTTGACTGTTTTAATTATGAGATCAGGAATGCTGTTGAGTTTAATCAGGCATCTGGGTTTGGGAATATATTTTAAAATGTTTTAATCAGGAAGGTCTTGTTCAATGGTCATCATAGCAAACTAATGTCTAAGTAAATATTTCAACATTGGAAACATTGTTATTTCAGGTATTATATACAGTTACCTACTGAAAAGGCCCATGAGTTCCACAGTGATGCAAACTGCTCCACCTCTCAGGTCCAGAGCCCTGCTGTGTCTGTCCCTATAGGGGCCCAGAGTATGGCCTTTGATAATCTGGAGACAGAGAGTGCTGCACAGAGGCTGGATCCTCGTGTGGCACAGAAGATACGGGAGATAGTATCGGGTGGGGAGACCAGAGTGTACTCAGTAAGGAAGATTCTACGGTAAGACATCTGATGGATTCAGACAGAACTGAACTGAGAGCACATATAGTATAGAGAAGGGACATAGAAGCTTATGTTTAAATATTAAGTGCCTAGTATTAAAACATGATGTTTCAAGAACAATTTCTAAAAAATGTCATAATTTTAACATTTTAATATGTATCTTTTAGCTATGTACATGTACAGTTGATATCAATCCTTTGAAAAAATAAGGTAAAATTATTTTACATAAATTAATGTTTAGATTGAATTGCATTCAAAAACCAATTACTGCCCTAACTAGGAAATCAAATATAAGCCCAAGAAAGATGATAATATGAGCTAACATAACTTTCACTATTGTTATAAAACGAATAAAGATTTTAGTTATACCGTGATAAGGTATTACATTTAAATTTATGAGTGAATGTGTCATGCTTTAAAGGATCAGCTACAATGTCTTTTATCATGGTGTAAATTCCAGGTCTTTTGTGGTGCGTCAGTTATATAATGGTGGGGAAATACCTGAGCGACATGACCTGACACTGTTTCCTACCGTAAACGACCTCAAAAACCACATTCACCAAGCATTAAAGGATATAGAATGTGGCTCTCTTGCCCTCACTGCACCAACAGTATGTATACTCATATGTATAGATACCTGCACACTTGCAATAGGTCACTTAAACTCTACATGTTCTCAACATAATTAGTTTGATTCATATGACTTTGTAGATATATACATATGAAATGTGAAGGTAGAATTTTTGTGGTAAGTTTAACTGCTGTAACTGCCAGATTTGTGGGTAATTTTTAGTGCCCCTCTAGTCCAACATGAGGTAATAATATATTAATTTTTCATCCATCAGTCTTCATGTTACATGGTCTGGAAATATCTTTTTATCTTTTACACCATTTTACCTCAGTGTTACATAAAATGCTGGTTGGGATATGCCACAAAATCATAATAATATAAATATTGAAAATATGCTTAGATTTTAAACCTCTTCAGAAACGCTCATTTTAAATGTTTACAATACAACCAAAGTCAGTCATTTCCATTCTGGTTCTTTTACCTAGTGAGATGGTGACATTGATGTCTACAGAAGGAAGATTCTTCTTTGGTGCTAATATTTTATTACAATGTAGCCTTAATGAATTTCAAATGTATATTCTAGGTAAATGTAGAAATCATAACAAGTAATGATGGCACCCAAAGTGCAGAAATGGGGCAGATGGACCAATCACTATGGCAACAGACATCTCAAGAGACAACAGATGGCTCTGAACCAGTGCCTGAAACAGTCACAGTAACATTAACACAAAATCCTGGAGAGGGTTAGTATAAATACAACAGAGGTCATTATTTATTTCAATGCCTCTGCTAGGATTTGAACCCGGGACCCTTGACTTATTAGTCTGATGCTCAAAACCAATCAAGCTAGTATTTACCAGGGTTACATAAATTGATCATAGCGATAAATTATATCAAATGAAATAGGATTTGATAGAAATATGCAGCAATAAGATGTGACATCATAGAATAATCTTTACATAATGAGACACAAATTTTAAAAAAATTCTTGAAATTTTATACTACCTGAATTTTTCATTCTGTTGAAAGCATACTGACATGATTTTTTATCAGATGGCCACGTGATATCCAGAATAGAGACTCACCTGAGTGATGGCAGTTTGCGAGTTAGCACAACCTTAACCCCAGAGACGGCCCAACTCCTGTCTAGACTCCATCCTAATATGTTTCCAGCTAATCTCCTCATGCAGGTAATTCATGTCAGTAGGAGTTATCTTTCTTGCAGAGATACAGGTTAGAGAGTTATAATTATTTGGGTAGAAAAATTTTAGCCTTCAGGATAAGAATCCTACTTGCTAGGCTTAGGTTGAGATAAACAGTGTATCACAGATAAACAGAGTATTTAAAATAAACCATATATCTTAGGTGTCTGTGTATTTTCAAGAATGAATTTTAATGTATTTCAAATACAATATGGACCACATAGAACGTACAATGGAGAAATTTCTTTATTATGTCATATTAGAAAAAAACACTGAGTGATCCACCCTAGGATACTGTCACATAGTACGACATTAGGAATGTTGAATCAACCATTATTTATAGCCCATATTTCTGGTATCGATGCATAAACAAAGAGTTTGAAATTAATGGATTTGTTTTAAGATTACCAAGCAAATATCATACCTACAGTTACTTTCTGAAGGTCTTATTTTTGATTTGTGAAAGATAATAAAGATAAAACTTCAGAGTTTACTGATCATAAATCAAATTTAATCATTTATACAAATTTTGATATTGAGGTAATTTTGCCTTATTTCTCAGCAACAAGTGGACCAGGCCGTGACATCAATATCAGACCCGTCAGTGCCGCCGTCTAATAACATAAAGGTAGAGGGTTCAGTGCCTCTGTGTGGGGTAGAGCATATGGACTCTGGTGTGGTAGGTGCTGATGGGGACAGTATAATGAATGGGGGTGTAACCTCAAGTGACCCACAGGACATTGGGGGTATACACATAATACAGGGCGACCTAAGGGTGGCTACCTCACATGGGGGTGTTTGTGCTGTGGTAGCAAGCTCAGAACTGGATCAAATTTCAGCTCATCTAGAAGGACCTGGATCAGGCATGTCACTGGGGGATGAAGAGGATTCTAGCTTAGGACAAGGCACACAGCATCATCAATTTGTTACAGTCGCTATGAATGGTAAGATCAGAAAGTATTTGTTACCATATAATCTGTTGATTTTCAAGGATATATGTTTTGTTCAAAATTATTGAGATATTTCTTTTAAAAATATAAATGACTTCTTCTAATAAATTTCAATATTTTTGCTTACCAAATCATTGACATTAAGAATCAACCAAAATATTAAAAAGTATATCTAAAAGAATAACAAATCTGTAATTTTTGTTTTGCAGAATCAGGGGAGATAATTCCAGTTTTGGACGTGGATGGGTCGGGAATTACAAGTTTACATCAGGCACCTTCACTAGACTGATTCGTGTGTTATTACACATGGTGTATTGATTTTGTCTTCTTACTAGCAATATATTTTCTTTGTCAGCATTAAATGCTTCATATGTTATCATTACACACCACTGAATTATTCTGTAATCCATTACACAATCATTTGTACAGTACATAACAACTGTCTACAGCAATGCAAAACAAAGTCTGTCAATATATCATACTTTAGATATAAAATCCAACAAGATTTCAGTGTTTTGTTACACGAAGAAGTGCTATGTACTACATACCTATAAAGTCCAGTCCAATGCTGGCTTAACACAGCTAGACTATCATGGGGATCGTGCAATGGATGTGCTATCAAAAGTCGAAGGAATACTAGATTAAAAAGCAGAACAAATATACCTATTAAGTGAGGATGCATTATCTGTTTGAATGTTCTGCTCAAGTTTATTGAAGGCATTTTAGTGCAGTTTAATATTTCTGTTTCTTTTACAAGACATGTAAATTGATAAACAATTATATTGGGTTATGATGTGAACATCAGCTTACCATTCTCGATATTCCAGGGGTTACAGTCACTTTCGCTGTCTGCTCCCCTGGAACATATCATGGCATAATTGAAGGTCCTATGTGTGACATCTTGTGCACAAGACAAAAAGATCTTTTGATCCTTTGATGCACATCAAGTGAACCTCCAGGTTGCATTTAAGTCTATTGTAATGGCTTTCAGGTTAGATATCGCTCCTTTGTAATCTTTTAAAGGATGGTATCAGCCTTTGATTGGCCAGTTTTCTTCTCCTGGAACCAATCAAATTACTTTGTTTGTGCCTTTGATTTTGCCATATGTTCAAGAGGTGCAGAGAGCGAATGTGATGGTAACCCCGGGCCTTGAGTATTGAGGATGTCAACTTACATCCTCAGCTTGTATCTAAAACTTTTTTGACAAGTTGTGACATTTTTGTGCAGAATTTGAAATGCAAAAATGAATTTTAACTCAAATTTTGAAAGGAGCAGTAGGGAAATAAAAATTACGTATTACAGTGATATAGTAGCTAACTAATGTTTGATGACTTTTTGTTCAGTTTTCCTAATTTTTGGAAAGGAGAAAAGAAAGGTAATTATATCAGGCCATGCTTACATATACTAATGAAAAAGTTCATAGGACATTTATTAGTTTTTCATGAACAGATATAAGGGTACATTTAGAAGGATTTATTGTCTAGAACATCCATTATGATGATATTATAAGTTTTCTAGGGCAGCTACTTAAATTTGTTTCTTCCATTTTTGTCTCAATACTGGTGTTTAGTTTTCATTTATCATTTTAGTTGTTTAGATAGAATAGTAAATATTGGTGCTTATTGAGGTGCATTACATATTTTTGAAGTCTGGGATATATTACTGCATTACAGAATGGAGTAAAAATCAGTGTCACCCCATTGTATTGTGAACAAGGGATACAGTTTACCCTTAACATATTAAAGAAATCTGGATTTTCACCAATTTGGAGGGGTTTGTACATGCATTCATGGGTAATGGGGGAATAATGGGGGTTTGTGATATCATTGAGAATTTGTTAAATGTAATATTTGTGACTATTTTCAACTTAAGTGAAAACAAAATGTGCTTCAGTATCGCTTGTTTAGTAGAATCAAAATATATTTACTGAAAGGTATCACAGTATTAAAGAGTCTTCACTTGTTTCTACCTTTTGATACATATTGTAGTGTTATGGTAGGAGGTATATGTGCTGTAGATTTTCCATTTCTTGTCACCATTGATACTAATTACATTCTTAGTTTGATTATCATGACAAAACGAAAATAATGTAATTAAAATTTGTTGAATGGATGAGTTCATGTCTCAGGATAATGTCTTAAAGGTTCATCTTTTATTTTAAAATGCTTGTGTTTATAAATTTCAGACGAATCAATACAGTGAAACATTAATTTTTGTGTTCAGATTTACTTGGTGTTATTAGTCATGATGTCTAATGTTTCCTGTGCTATAAAAAACAGAGAATTCATACCAGTACACAAAAGTATCAACTAAACAATAACTATATTTACTGAAGCGTATGCTGGGTAATGATTAAAGCTGAAGCCCTGCTGTAACAGGTGGCTGGTTAGGTAACTGATGGATGGGGATATATTCCATCCGACACAAAAAGACCTCTAGAAGCAGTTTCAAATATCATGGACATGATTGTATCTGTAAGGAGATTAGTAAAATCCACCTTGTTATTTCTCTGATTTTACCCCTCCTCTCTTATTTCAAAACGCCTAATGATTACAAATATTTCTTTGACCCACCATTGTACATGCAAGGTGCGAACTAGCTTCATGTTTGAACCAATGTAAAACACAGTGAAGTGTGAACTAGTATATTGTTTGAACCATTGTAATGTTTAGCTTGTTCAATGATTGAACAGGTGTAAACTGTGAACCATTGTGATATGCAAACTTGTGTTGGATGTGAACCAGAGTAATGTTTGAACTTGCTGGTTCAATGTTTGAATGTGTGTAATAGAAGAACCATTGAAATGTGTGAAAAAGATCAATAATTGAATCTGTCCACTAGAGTAAGATGTACACCTGTAATATGTGTGAATGCAAACCAGATTAATGTATGGTTGTATGAAGTACACTAGTATGATTTCTGTGTGAATCTGTGTGAGTTACGGAGTTCATGATATCAAATTAGGCAAGGTTATGTATTATCTACTAAGTGCTTTATTCTTCAACTTTGCTCCTATGTTAAAATATTACCAATATTTTCAATTTCAGTCATCTGACTATCTGAATATTGACAAATGAATGTGCTGTTATTATTTCTTTCATAAAATGTTCATTACACTTTCAAGAAAGTGAAAGTTTTATTTTAATGTTGGATGACTAGTTAGTTTGTTAGTGTAATATATACTGTTATATTTACCATGTTTTGTGTTATTTTAAAAGGTACCACCTGTAATATTTGATGTAAGTTGTTTTTTTTTTATTCATGTTAGGTCAGATAATATCTGGATCCCATAGTGGGATTTGAAATCTATTTTCGTCTCATTGTGAAAGTGACTTGTCTTTACTTAGCTGTGATCTGTATAAATTGTATTGTACAAAGTTCAATTATTTAATTCTGTTGTTAAATGTTCCATTATTCTATTTATTATGTATTTTTTGCAAAACCAACTCTTTATTAAATATATCAAAATTATTGTTATGATTGTGTTAATTTTTATTATCAGTTATTTCAGGATATCTCTCTATTAGATAGGTTTATGGACCCATGAACAGCCTTGTCATTTTGAGACAGGGGTTCCCATTGGTGGCTGGATCACTGAACACAATACAGGAGACCCATCACACTCATTTCAGAGCAATGAGATTAAATTGACCTCTTCTAGGAGAAAAACATATCAGCACTAACTGGTCAATTTGTCAGACTCATAAGAAACCTACCACAGTGTCAAACCACACACATCTTAACCGTAATTGCTCTGGGTGACAGTAAATGGATCTCCTGTATGTTGTTCAGTAAGGTAGCCAGTAGCTACTTCTAAAATATAACAAACAAAGTAAGAGTCCTAAAGAGATGAACCTGTGTGTAGATTTTAATTCACATATTGTTGAGTGCAGGGAATCATATATAATGATAATCAATTTTATCATAATAGATCAAATATTCGAAACAAATAGAATATTGAAGGTTAAAAAATGAAAACAACTAGTAACAAATAAACAAAAGCAAAAATGTGGGGAAATATGGCTTACATTTACTATGACATCACATTTGGTGTTGCTTTATGCACGTCATCACAATGTGACGTAACTTTAAATGACGTCACGCCGAAAGGGGTAACATTATGGAATCACTACCTTGGCATTAGTCTTTCGTGTTGTTTGTCATAAATTTGGTTTGCGTGCAGTATTGGCTTCAAACAGAATTTATTGGAAATTGTTCTTTCCTGGGATTTCTTTTCGTGTCTGAAAATCAAAAGTCAGGGTCAGTTGCAAAGGAAATGAACGTTCTATATTTGAAATATAGCTATAACACTGCTTAAATAGTAGGAATGGTAGTGTTATTTATACATAAGTCTGCTATTTCAGTAGTATAATAACTATATCTTATATTAGTAGAACGTCCGATTTTTGTGGTCAGTGGATCTGTGACATTTTTGATGTGATTAACCAAGTTTCTAATTTGGGTACACATATTTAACCTGCAGACGATACTTCGTCACTTTATACTGCTGTCCTGGTCTCAAATCATCGTCATTTATAATTTTTTTTTCGTTGTTGACACTACCAGCCTTGAATTTCTCTTTGTTCAAATGTCAATTTACTTTGGATAAAAAATTGACTTTTTAGATAATTTGTGTTGACTCATCAAATTCCAAAGCCATATATTGCATCATTGCTTGGGATTATTTTCAGGTGTGTGACGTTGAAACAACCTTGAACAAATTCCCTTCTGTCGTCCTGTTTGTACTTAGTTTCATATGAGATCCTGACCTGTATCTCAACCAATGAAAATAACGCCAACGCTAGCCGTATGTAAGTGATCACATATGTTGTTTACATATTTCGTTATATGATCGACTAGTGTAGAATTGCTGAAGCAATCAACATTAATGCCTAGGTAATTGGAACAGGCATACGTTTTACACATTTTTCAAACATTTCCTTCTCAGCAGATCAAACATTCTTCCGTCAACTTTCTAGATGTGAATACTGCTGCGAGTTACCCTCTGTTTGTACAACATGACGCTGTTTATATTATTGGACATTGTCAGATACCCCAGGTATTAGCGCCGTCGTTTTGCATGTGTGCAACTAATCTGGGATGGAGTTTCGCCTGCCACGTGCGACCAATTAACCACAAGTGAAGATTTCAATTAGCGCTTATTATACGTATGCTTTATATCTTTTTGTATATTATTTTAACCAGAGGAACAAAGGTTACGCCAAATTATTGATGTTTTTGATGCTCAGTGTCCAATGGAAATATCCTCTCATATTTTGCTGAGACGAGAACGTGTTCCTTTAATCTAATATAGGAGCTTTTACCCATCGTCTTAATGTTGTTTTATTTTTGGTGAAACTCTCCAGCGCTATGTAATGTTGTAGGAAGGCGACATCTGGAGAGGGCAATAGAGTTCGGAGTTCCGAGGGAGGAATGCTTGACCTTGTCGATTATTGGCGAGGGCATATAGCTATATATAGTTGACTAAAATACAAACAATAAATCAACAAATTAGTATCCCATCTTGTCCATTTCCGCCAGAAATCTACACTGAATGGAGCTAGTATGGCAGTTCAGCATCGAAAATAATAATAAAAAAATCAGGTGCTATCGACCTAAAAACCAAAGCGCAAGCTGAGTGTTATAACACATTTGACTCAGACATACGGCATTTTAACCTTGAATGAGTATGGTTTTGGAGTCAACTTATCAGATTGAGATTCGACAAGCTTTCACAGATAAGATTGTCTGACATCCATGATAAAACATAAATATAACTTTTCGGAATCAAGATGGTGTTATGATTTTTTAATCTCTATTAGAATTTACTTGCATGTTGCCCACATCCCTTCATCAATGTTAACTGGAACAATCAAGTCAGACGTCACACTCTCTCCCCCATACCAAGCTCCACTGAGGTAACTGACAATATATCACACGTTCTTCCTAATAACTGTAATAAAAATAAGTGAGCTGTTTTCTAACTGGAAGATTGTCAGATTAAGATTGATCTATATTTAATGCTGAGCGTGCTGCACGTGATCACACGCAGAACGAAGACACCGACGTTACCAGTGGTACACACATCATTGTTCCCGTGATCTAGGAGTGACAGGAAACAAATGTTTGGTTTTGGTAAAAACAAATGATAATTTATATGTTGAAGATACAGTTCTAACCATATAATCCATCCTACGTTCTAAATACCACTTAGTTCTCGACTGTCAGTCGATAATTTTCCTTCGGTTTTCCCACGGCTACTGCTGACTGGTCACACTTAAAAAATGTGTTTATTCAATGTTGTTTAAGCATTAAATCAAGTATAAAGCGTGTGTCGTTAACATGAAATCCCATTATCTAAAATTTCGGAATTAAGCACCCCTTTACATATTACGTAGCCCACTTCTAGTTTCCAAGTAAACGTCCCCTGTCACGCAGTAGTAAACGTCGTTTGTACTGGCCGTAATCTACTCTTATTTATTAGGTAAGCTTCGTCTGTAATGACAGTGACCTACTCTTACTTCTCAAGTAAGCTCAATCTGTAGCGGCCGTGACCTTCTGTAGGGGCCATGACCTTCTGTAGCGGCGATGACCTATCCTTACTTCTCAAGTAAACGTCCTTTGTAGTGGCCGTGACCAACTCTTACTTCTCAAGTAAGCTTCATTTGTAGCGGTCGTGACCTATCCTTACTTCTCAAGTAAACGTCCTTTGTAGTGGCCGTGACCAACTCTTACTTCTCAAGTAAGCTTCATTTGTAGCGGCCATGACCTTCTATAGCGGCCGTGACCTACCCTTACTTCTCAAGTAAGCTTCATTTGTAAAGGCCGCAATCTACTCTTACTTCTCAAGTTCATATCATCTGTACCGGCCGTAATCTACTCTTACGTCAGCTCATTACATTATCAATGTACTTTCTTATTTATGATGTCCCTTACTACCGACGTCATTTCATTACATTATCAGTGTACGTTCTGATATTATAGTGTCCCTTACTACCGACATCAGTTCATTACATTAACAGTGTACTTTCTTATATTGTAGTGTCACTTACTACCGACGTCAGTTCATTACATTAACAGTGTACTTTCTGATATTGTAGTGTCGCTTACTACCGACGTCAACTCATTACATTATCAGTGTACGTTCTGATATTGTAGTGTCCCTTACTACCGACGCCAGCTTATCAACTATCAGTATACTCTCTAACAGCCGATCTCCGTTTATCTCGGTCATTATTTCATTAATGATACAGTTTTTTGTGACGAAGTTTCCTCGTGGTAGCTCGTAGCTACATAATGCGGGATGCCCACATCATACAATATAATAGAATTGAATTACAGTTTCCTGCCCAAGGACGCGAAGAAAACCCGCTCTTGGAGGGAAGTAGAATGTTGACGCTGATAACGATATCTATTATAAGTTTAGATAAACATTATGGCACTAAGTGACCTCAAATTAACGGAGTGAGCTGTATCAGCTAGCAAACAATGCGTTAGTTTCTTTGAAATTTACTGCTAAAACAACCTTAAAGTTTACATTTCAATGTACCTGGTAATTGTGTCTATACTTTATGAAGACGGTCCATCAAGCTGTTTACATTTTAAATATAAATTGTCTTCAGCATGACGTTCTATATATATGTGGATGAAAGATGTGGAAAAGCCCTCTCAAACACCTCGTTCTCAAATCTCAGCTCAGCAACATCTATCAAATTCAGCAGTTGTATCTAAATTCTCAAACCTATTTTACTACTGTTTATCTTATTCGACAATATTTGTTTACTTTTATCACTTTCTTGATTATCGCTTTAATACCACATTCAGAAAGAAATCGAAAATTTGTACAATGTAACATTTTCGTTCGATTTAATTTTTGTCACCAAAATTCAATTATTTCTATTCTAACATTATGGAATTGATATTTTGAACGAAGTGAGTGTTTAATTTTCATGTTCGTCTATTTTCAATTACGGTTTGACGGCGACAAGGGAAATTATGTATCATTAGGTGAGCAAATCGATATTGTAATCCTGTTAAGGATCACAAGGACACAATGTCGCCGGGACAGATACATTTGGTGCATTCTTTACATGTCGGTTTTGCATAATTCCGTTATACACATCTCAATAAAAATGCTATGCTGGTGTCTAATTTGGTATAATTAGTTTATAATACACTAGAAATGAAAAAAATATTCCCCGTCTTTCTTGGCAATTCTTTCGGAGATTAAAGGTATTCTGTGAGAGAGCGAGATATGATAAATAAAATATATATATATATATATATATATATTGTACAGATCTGTAAGCGTAATTCATGAAAAGTATTTTAAACCACTTGAATACTATTTTTAAAGGATGTCTACAAACATTTTATGTCCAAAAACATTTAATTTTATTACGTAAGATAATTAGTTAGATATTACGTATATATAAATATTA